CATCTAGCACTCGTTCCATGTATAAACATATAGCAGCACGCACCACTACATACAAGTCTTCTAAAATACCGTACCTGGCACGGTTTCTTACCAACGCTGATCTTGTCATTGGAACTCTCAGACAAAATCTTTGCTAAATTGGCTTTTTGTATATGTAACGTATCACCATACGTTTCGTTACCATGTAATTTCCAAAGAAGAGTGATTGTGTAGTAGCTGAATGTTCATCCCCTATAGGGAGAATTAAAGCCGCTTCTTGACCTTGAAGCTTCTTTGCTATTCTATGGGACACTGAACTAAAATGTGAGGCACTGGATTGTGGTCATTTTTGCTACAGTGGTCACCAGAGCCACGGTCAATCGGTCCATCGATGAGAGCTCTGTAGCACTGACGTGCAAGCGGATGAACGATATTCGCGATTGACTGGTAAGCGGGTGAGTGGAGTGGGTTGTCAGATCCGAGCGGTCGATAAACACCGTCACACGAAAGCGCTTGTGTGAATGAATGAATTAACGATACTCTCACTTGGCCTAGAGCATCGATGAAATTAGAGAGGTCACCTGGCAAAGGTCATCGTAACCCGGGTCTAAGGAGAGTTTGAGAGATACACTTTTAGCCTAATTTAGCTCTTGTGGTGATTCTCTTCCAACCCTTAGACAGCATCAGATTCGGAACCTGTCCTCCGGTGTCGGCCCGAAAATCGCACGACCGATCGGGTTCGCTTATCAATCGGGCGAATGGTTCAGCCGCAACCAGAGACCTGGTGTTTGCCCAGATAACCCGAGGGAGAAACCACACCTTGTCTACAACCGTGAGTCTTAGGCAGGCCCAGTGAACTTTGACTGCGCAACAGGAGTGCCATCAGCACACGGATGGACTGAACGTGACAAGATCATCACAAAACGTAGAAGACAATGTGAACCGATGGAGTAATCGTACTGTCGTACTATCCACATAGCAACATGACCTCTTAAATTGAAAAAGGTATGGCTTATGAATCACGTTAAGGCATCACTAGTCTAAGTTGGTCCGACAAACAACGGTTATGACGAATGCATCAACATACACTGATAACAGCAAAAGCGAACGAACGAATAGATGTCTACAGACATTAATGATCCACGTTTTTCAATAGAAAACCATGGATAGATTGCACAACAAACAATCAGTTTGAATATGGAAAGGAAGTCAATGTTCTGAATGTACACCGTAACAGATATTTCACTCATTTTAAATGTTATTTCCTTCTCGCTGTATTCGAACTGGTTCATCTTCATTTTCCTTGATGTGATTTTTATAGCTAAAACAGTTTTATATTATGGTGGAAGTTATGTAATCAATTTTATGGTTAGCCTAACATTGCGACGGAATGGAGGAATATGTGGAATTAATATGGTATAATTGGGTCAGAAAAAGTTCCCCTGAAGAAAGGTAGGTAGATTCGCGATAACTATAGATACATAGAACTGAAAAGGGCGGAATACCGGATGCAATGTACCGATAATGGGCTGTGGGTGTCATAAAATATTTAAATTTCTGCGACATATACAGGATACGCAAGACGGTAGATTTAAATTCAGTAATAAATAAACAGTTTATGATAATAACTATTGGGAACAACTAACGGGATTAACCTACTTTTCATAGATCCGGTTTATTTTGTTGCAAAACTGTCAACCGATGTTTATACTACTTATTAGCACCTGCTACTATTTACCCTACAATGTCGCAGTTCCTGAAATTTACCCACTTTTTCGAATTCCCGAGGCGTGCGACATAGCAGGAGATTGACTGTATGTGCAAAACCAAGCACCATATCTCAAACTGTGGGTCAATCTGATCTCCGCGGCACAAGAACAAGATACAGAACGGGTCAAGGTGCAAAACAAAAGGAATGCCCAAACTTGACTGACAAAAGCGACAATTTAAGGGATAGAAACACCAATCACAAGTGCTCGATAATGAAGCGCAGTCATTGGTCAATGCCAGGCACACAAACGGTTCACGGGATCCTATGGAACAAAACAGCCCGATAGGCAAATGAATCGAACGATCAGATATGAAGATCAAGATAAAGTGAACGAGATGACAATGAATTCGAACCAATCGTGGCCGGGGGAACGATCCAGGGTAGTTCGTGTGTAATGACGCACGAGATTGGTAAGCATGGCACAGTGAGAGTTCAAGGACGATAAGGGTAGATGATGCACGAATGAATGGGACGAGGAACGCTTCGAGGCGGTATGTGAACAATAACAACAAAGTACAATGTACATCATCGGACCAAATCGGGGCATGATGATGGGCGAAGTAGATTCGAAGGTCATCTGTGTAATGGATGCACAGTTAGTCGAACCGAACCGGAGCAAATTTGGAAACGTGAGTGATGTTTCGAAACAAGGTGACAGTCTGTATGTAACAAGACATACTCTGAAAGATAACAAACAAACAATGGGGCCTTACTCGTCCCAGTACCGTCAATTCCTGAAGTGGAGGGCGGGGGGACTTATTCTTAAAATAACAGTTTTGCCGCTTTGTGTTGACTTTATTTCAAACTAATCATCTCAAGCGGCACGCATTGAAGTTGAGGTCCCAGTAAAGTACCCTAGATTGCGAGGATCACTAGTTTGCAGTCCTCATTTTGAGGGGTATGAAGTTATTATTTACTATCCCATGTTCTGTGTGTGTGCTTCTACAGTTGACTTATTCAAATCGTAACTTGATAAAATATTGGAGCATTGAACATTTCAGTATCTGTGTGAATGATTATGCATATCATTCTTATCTTCTACCGGTAAATTTGTCCAAATTATTCTGCAAAACTGCTATGCGGCCTGATAAGCGTTAGCTTTGTTAAATCGCCCATAATAAAAATGTGAACTTTGAACTTTGGCATATTTTACGATCTTGGTTCATTGTTTACCAATGATCGATCATTTTGGGGAAGTAATCTCGCATTTGAATATCCTATAGGTCTTTGTGAACTCAGAGCATTGATAACAACTCAAATGACAGGAGTAATCAATATCACAGAATGCAATCTACCATCTCTTTCAGTTTTCATTTTTCATGACTATTAAACAATGCATTTTTTACGCCCCGGTTTTGGTTACTGTCTTTTGCCTGCCCGTTTGGATGAATGAGTAGAATGAAGATTGAACTGTGGAGAGCGGAGACAAAGAGAAGATAGAGAGGGATTGGAAGAATATTGAGTAGGTGCACGAGTGCCACTGTTTGCGAAACCCGATCGTATCCTTCAGGGGCTATGAATACCGGTTATCATGACCTCGGGTTCGTCCGCATCCAGGCAGTCTAACGTGACCTGCGTAGCCTATTGTCCTGGTAATGGTATTCATATCACCATACCAAGTCTTAGTTCGATCACCCTTGACCTATTTCCATCCCTAGTCTGCCTCGGCAAACTACTGGCAACATACACAACACGTGTCCCAACCATTGCATTCTAAGGGGGTTGACCAATTACCATGTTACCATGGACGACCGTAATGATGTAAAACTCGGTTTCCCAACCAAACTCGTGAAATGCGGTGTTCGAACACTATTCGAACCTATTTTTATCCTATTTCCGATAGGGCAAAGTTTTTTCACCGTAGAGCAACACTGACCAGTAGCATATACTCGACTCGTCACAGACAGCCAGATATCGCGACGCTAATCGCGAACCCTCTGTAGGCCTGGTGACACTACATTTGTGACGTATCCACCAGTTGAGGTGTAGCTGCCTACTTCCACTACTATCCCTTCAGTTAGAGAGAGACTGTTATGTCTTACAGTGAATGAGACTACTCGGACAATGGCCATTTACGAAAGGTATTCATATATACGCTCAACATTTAAAACAACACGAAGTATCTGTGCTCGTTAGCAAACCGGATTTTTGGATTGGTGAACCCCATCGAGGCCTCAACAGTATGCGATATATATATATATACGATATATATACATACGAACCATGCGTGCGATCAAAAATCTGTGGCAATGATAATGGAGTTTGAAGTACTTTACATGCCAGAAACGAACACCGTACGATAATGAGACATCGTTGGCTTCTTGTCTTTGGCTCAGGATGATGAGTTAATTACCAGGCAGTCAGCTTACATGCTAACTGGTGGATGCCACATGCCACATGGATGGGGAAATTCGAATGTGAAAAAGATCAGTGCTATCGGGGTGGCCTCGTAGCTCAACTGGTAGAGCATGCGCATACAAAGCGTAGGCGGCGTTCATGCGTGGGTTCGAATCCCACCGAGGCCACTGAACTTTTCACACTCGACATACAAACTTCAAATCTGCCAAACAACTATATTGAGATGTATTGACATGAATGCGAATCACTGACAACGTGTTTGTTCGTCACTCTCTGCTGTGTTTTGGTTGATATATACTGTGCTCTGTGAGGGGGGGGGACACTATAGTTCAACAAACAGGGAATTCACCCAAAGGTATTTTCAACTCGTTTTCCACAGTCCTTTCTTGTTTAATCCGTTTGCTTTTTTTCCTTCTAATGAACAAATCTCTATTATTTTCACCATGGAGCAGTTTAAAATACAGTCAACACTTCAATCGCAAAAGTTGTTCAGACATTTGCACAATGAATTTTGTCGGTAGTATTGGACGAACAGAAGAGGCTGGTGCTGTTGGTGGTGATTATCACCGGGGGAGAGCAAATGTAAACCAATTTTCATTTGCTATCACAATTTCTCTTCAGTCGCGCTACACAAAATTGAGAATAAAAGATACAAAACAAGTGTCAGAATAAAAAATAAAAAACCCAACAAAAACAAGCAGTGTTCAATCACAAAATCACATCATCACGGAATTCGAATACTGATTTTTGCATACATAACACGATGACCAAAAGTTAATACACCCACTCCACCGAACACCCCGCACCGCAAAAAAAGATCTCGGGGAGATACGAAAGACTGGAAGCGATCATTCCGATCAGATAGATCGTGAGGAAAAACAAAGACATTTGGTCATACATACTGTTCTCCAATCGCATTCTGTCCTGCTAATCGATCACGACACGGGCACACTCGTTGTCGCGTTGGAATACCCGGTTCCGAATCGTCTGGATAGGCACAACTGAACCGAAGCGGATCGGCTTGAAATGTGCACTCGCCCATTGTTCGATCCACATACGGTGCGATCATCTCAGCTGAGTGGGATTTCATTTCACATGTGATATTCCAAGTTCGGATCACGGTATTGGGATTGTTTACGAGGGGAAAATATTCCGGGGCACAACGGAGTCGTTGCCACATAACGGATTTCGTCCGTGGACGAGCAAACGGAAGTCGCAGATCGGAATAACTATGCGGTCGAAGATGATTATCTGATATCGAAAACAATCGAACATTACCACCTGTGCTGAAGTTCACTTGGGATCGATCGAGGGATTCACAGGCCCGATTGCAAGACCATCCGGCCGGGGCCAGGATTGGTATGAACTGATGATGAGCAATTGTACTTGTTGTTCGATTGCAAAAATCCTGATGGTCTAATAATGCATTCAATCGTTCCAAGTAACCAATTGCAGAGAATTCGAACGGAATGTAACCATCTTCCTTCAGTCACAGGTAAGTCGAATCGGAGTGTGTGTGTGGGGGGGGAGGGACAGGGATAGAAGGACCGTAGGGGGGTAGAAAACAAAACACAATTTCAATAACCATTTCAGTCAGGCAAGTTGGAAATGTCAAAAATTATGTTATCCTTATATTCTCATGGTGCCTTAGGTGTGGAAAACAACGGAACATTCTTCAGAAACGACGTGTGTTTTGGATTGAATATCACATGACTTGTGGCAACAATGTTCTTAGACGGAAAAATGCGTTTCAGTTAAAATCATCAACTGAGTGTTTTTTCCCGCGCTCATCACACGCGAACTAACGGCAAAATACAATGTTCAAGTCACATTTTAGTGCCAGAAAGCCTGTGTGGTTTGTAAGCCTCCTTTTCGTTGGGTTGGTATCAGGGTTTTTGGTCAACTCCTCTAGGTGAACTGCAAGTGGTTCACCAACCGGATTATAGCCCCGAGTGCACGATTTACCAGAGGAACTTTCTGAAGATCATATTTTAGATAAATAATACACCCTAATCACCAGAAATAATGATTTAAAATGTGCAATAATACATTCCTCAAAAGTGTACACATACACAAGGTACTTGTTACATTCGATTTGCTTCGAGGTAAGTTCGAAATACTTACAATGGGATTGATCAATAAGCGACGAACGGTGGCTCGGATCTGCTCTGCGTCCTCCGGGAGCATCAGATACGAATAGGGTTCACCCACGTACTGTTCAATGTACGGATGTTGACTGGTCAGCTGGAATGATAAAACCGAAGCATGTACTGAGTTCACTGATTTCTTCATAGTGAGCTGAAAATGTGTACCAATTATCAGTTGATTCATACCATCGGGCGTTAATTACTTCCGGAAGCACTGTCCACTAACACGTATTTTCTATGGTGAATTTCGTCGCTGTGTAACGAGCAAATGAAACCCGCGATGAAAAACCATGAAGCATTGGAGAGCTGTTTCACTGCGTTCAGGTCTCATCAACAGTGAACAAATCCACTATCCCAACTGGGGTTCGAACCCCGGGGATCTCACATGCAGACTGTAAGCATACTACCCTCTCGATCGGCACGCCTTTTACACTATACCAACTACACTTCACACTACTAACTTTATTTGAATTGCAAACAAGTAGACTACTCTTTCTGTCTCCGTTGCGTGTTGCACACAAAGGTAATCGTCACGGTGATTTATCCGTAGATGGGATTTTCACCCGAATTCATGTCCACTTGCTTGTACAGTTGAGTACCCAAATCGAATCAGTAACCACCACAGGCAACAATCGATCCTCCCCCAGGCTGATATCAATCGATTTTTGTTCTGTTTGACGCGTTGCGATTTGCANGGAAAAAAACAACAGCATGGTCAAGTGATATTTGTCAAACTCTGCAAAAAGTGGTCCACTTAGTGCAAAGTCTATCCCAAATGAGATGTATCACAGCTCCATAGATGTTGTGCAACTGTACTTTTAAGTGTAGTATTATTACTGATCCACAGATTTGTGGATAGATTGCCAAAATATTGCAAGTCAATAAATATATGGGATAAATATTGCGTAGATAACTCTTTTGAATGCAGTGCGGCAGCATCGATTTTGACATCAAAATTAAATGGGATACTTTATTTTGTGATATAAAATCATGTGGAGTCTTGCGTTACTGTTAATCTCAGTCACACCAATAGAACGGGGGACAGAAACTGCTGAATGCAAGCGTCTGTATAGGTTTTCACAATGGCTAGAACCATGCACATACAGGTCTAATCGAAACTGAAGCAACAGGTCCCTGTGAAAGACTTGTCGATTCGTATGGGCAACAGCATTTATACTGAAGCAAATTTTTTTCAAAACTAATAATAAACAAGTCTTGGAGAGTCTTTATATCCGTGAGTTTCCTGAATCGTTTATACTCAGCAGATGGAATGGTTCAAAATGTAGCGGATACTCCGATTTCGTCAGTAGTAGTTGACCTAGACCATGATGAGTTAAGAGGTAACTAAAGAGAATGGAACAGTTTTTATTAACAACAAATTAACATTGATAATAAGCAAGATGTAACGTTTGTGTGCACTAGTAGTCGATTAGTCTGTTTTGTTCTTTAGAACTTTTTTGAGTCTCTTCGGCGTCAAACCCACCAACTTTGTTATGAAGTCATTTTCTATGTTGAGTCATTCTTATTAGAAAGTATTGCGTTGTCATACTTGATACAGTTTGTGATTCTCATGTTCAGATCATTTATTCTTGGCACTCAAGGTCAGGCACGTTTAATTGACAATCATGCAACCCAGAAACTACGCAAATCGAAGTAGACAAGATGTAAATTATTGTCCATACCTAAAGGATTAATATGGGTGATAAATATGGTGAAAATATGATGAAAATATTTTAATGCATCACAACCGGCCAGTACTGTACAGAGAACGGTCAAGAACCCGCAATCAGGACGGAAGAACAACTCCTTTCCACCCCTGACCCCCTCGTACCAGTTCAACGGCGAACTGAGTTGAATCAAGTGAGAACTGGGGACAAGCATAGTCGGTGGAGAAGACCGCGTATGTAAAGGAACGGGTCCAGGGCAGAATAGTGCCACTTCACAAGCACTGATGATGTCACCTGGGCTGTTGACGGTGAAACGTTTGCAAACCAATTGCCAAGCCCGGAGAACAGGATACATGGAACACAGGAATATGTTTATCATACGGAAGAAACAGAATATTGGAATTAGCTATTATTTGTGCAGTCTAATAGAAGGGAGAGATAGGGTTACGGTTTTGCTAACGAATTGTGTCAGTTATTTTTGCCTATGTGTTGTAATTGAAAGGCCTCCATACAGTGCCACTAGTGACTGAATACATATAACAGCGTCAGGTCAACTTGATGGGATCATTCACAAACCGGGAGGTTGTTTAGTTGAAAGTCCAGAGTTAACAAGCTTCATTCTCATTCATCTCGTGGAGTTCAACCCACACATCAAAGACAGAGCGCGCGCGCGAGAGAGAGATCAGTCCTGTGTAGATTGAAAAATGACTCCAAAAAATGTTGGTGCCACTACAAAGACGAGGAGAATGGGTTTTTGCGAATCAAATACTATTGCGATTCAAATCACTCAAGTTGTCCAACCGCCTACACTGTCGCTCAGCGTCTAACCCGAGGAATTCCATCAAAGTTATTGCTTGATTCGAATGCCTGTATCAATCTTTAGTCGTCAGAATATGCTTTGACGATCTTCCGAAAACCGATGGAACATTTGCATTTTGCAATTATTTTCATTTTCCCCTTGTAAATTTTGAAAATCCACCGCTCAAACAATCCACTTCATCAAAACCAACAACAATTGGCGCATTTTTAACCTTCAGAGAGAGAGAGAGAGACAGAACGCGCGCGCAACATGTGTCGACTTTTTCTCATCCAATCATCGTTTCTTTGCACACTCCTCCACTTCCCACGTTGTCTTAAGAGAGGGAATCGGTCAGATAATAGACACAAGAGAAGACAAGTAAAACTTTAATATTTTCCGTGTTGTTTTCAGTTCACATTTGTGTATACGGATTCACTTGTTCCTGTGGAACAATCTACGCATGCCGCACGGTCGGGCGAGCTGATTCGTGAATACCACACTGCGTGGTGGCTGAACGCCAGAACGATCTAGTTACTCATTCAAATGCAATGGTTTCACACCTAGCCGAAACAAATCACATTGTGGACCTGCCCAAGGCTTTCCGACCCCTGTATACAGCTCACGGACGATTATCGAGGCAGGTTCGCTATCGGGTGCTGGCTACAGCAGAACTGGTGGGTATTCGTTTGCAGATCCCTCCCCTGTGTGCTCAAATACAATTTGTGCAAGCAATGAAGCTTCCCTGGCCCACCTCACCTTCAAACACACGCACACACACTGTATCACGTGTAATCTCGATGATCATCGGATGAATGGACAAACAAATATGTGATCGTGGTGATCCCGATTTCCGATCTCATGATGAAATCGTTTCTAGTAATCTGTGATTTTATTTCATTTCATTTTTCCAAGACAACCTCATTCCCAAAAAGTAAAATATATATTGAGATGTATTGACATGAATACGAATCACTGACAACGAGTTTGTTCGTCACTCTCTGCTGTTTTGTTTGAAATATGCTTTGAGACTATTTCGAAAATTCACATTTTCCTCAGGATTACTTGAAGGTAGTGAAGTGAGATTGTGAGATTTTCATTCCTCACACCTACCTGTATACACAACACTCCGTTCACAGAACGAACTATGCACTCAAAAAACACTATGGACACGAGCCGTTTGGTGTAGGTACAACTTGTGCGTAGTGCACACTCATCTTTAAGTCCCCAGTATTTGAATTCCCAATCGCTCGCATGAAATACACATGGCACCCGTTTGTCAATCTTCTCATCTCTCTACTGACCAGAATCGCCAATTCAAGTTTGTCCTGATGGAAAATAGGTGACTGTGGCTGTGACTCCAAACGAAAGCCTCGCACCAGCTCTGTTCTTCCATGCCGATTTGGTCTGACTTACCTTGCAAATTAAACCCAGAAGGCTGAAGTTTTACCACATAAGTTGTAAAGAAATCTGTTCAAGTATTCGAATCACATATAATCTTTTGACATGAAGTGTCATCCAAACTATTTCCATTGTAGCTACCCGGATTGAATCAGAAAAAATGAAGCGAGAGCGAGAGATAATGGATAACTTACCGTGACAAGGGAATAAATAAGTGACTTGTCTGAAAGAATCAAGATTTTGGATGTGTTCTCCAAAATCTTACTGATAGAGCACACAAGCGTGGATGGCACAATCGGGCGGGTTTGAACCCAAGTGATCATTTAAAATCGATGCACAGATTAGTCATTTTTTGGAAATACAACAAACAGTTGACCATTAATGAAATTCGAACAGACAGGAAACCGATCCTTTCCTGTGTCACATTTTTGTGCAATCGGATAAGAAACAGATTGTGGCCAACTAAAGTGTTATTCACATTTAACTCAGTTACTTGTGAGCAGTGGTATGGGATAATTGATATTGATTGATTTGAACTGACCATCCTTCTCGGACTTCACTTTCACGCACACAGTTCATCGATTCAACTATACGCACTCGGAAGCACTATAGATTCGAGGTTCGTTGTTTTTAGAGCCCATCAGTAGTGCTTATCCACCGTCCCATGGGGGATATGAACCCCGGACCCATTGCACCAACCATGTCACATGGAGTCCGAAGTTCAAAACCCGGACGGGGTGGTGGTTACGCTTTACTGATGGGCTCTAAAAGCAGCGAAACTCGAGTCTACAGTGCTTCCGGGTCACTGGATGAATTGAGGATTGTGCGTGAAGGGGAAATCCAAAGAATAGTCGGTTCAAATTAATCATTAATTGATATTCTTAAAAATCTGATCTTACTAGAGCCTGAACATTGCCGTTTCCCGCATATAAATTGGTCCTGATTAGGGATTAGGGTGTTCGGGAAGAACGCTGGCCAATTGCGATTTATCAGAACGAAATACTGGAAACCCGTTTATCTGATCCAGTAGATACTGTAGTCTGCATACACAGACAGACAGACAGACAGACACGCACATAGTATACAATCCCTTTTCCGGGTGTTGTTCGCCCCAATGACCCTGACAGACAAATTCGACTATTCTCATTGGGGATTTGCTCGGCAACGGTTTGACAAATGAACATGAAGTACTTTAGACGACTGAAACAGCAGTCGGTATAGATTATTTTTTCCATTTCGAGCAAAAAATAACCATGCGCACTTTCGTGTGCCACTTTTGGTTACTATCTTTTGCCCCCCCCATTTGGAAGAACAATAAGGGAAAGACAGTAAAGTTGAAAGTAGAGTGGAATATAAAATGGAGAGTTTCAGTGGATCAAAGTTGCAAATAAATTGAGAAGATACACGAACACCACTGTTTACAAAAAAGCCATATCACTCAGTGTCTCAAACCATCAGTTACGATCAAACCGAGGTTCCCAGTCAGGGAGCACAACGGGACCTATGTGACTCAGACTCCTGGTTAGGGTTTTCATACCCTCGTGCCAGGTCTTAGCTTGACCACCCTCAACTTTCTTCCACCCACTACCTGCCTCGGCGAACATCGCTCACCGTGGCAACCTATTTGGTGACAAGCGTAACACATGACCTAACCAACATAATCTATGGAGGTCGGCCACTTGATACAGTAGGCGACCGTGGTGGCCTGAAACTCTGCGCTTAACCTCAGCACTGCTCGTTCGGCTGCCCCACCAGATTCGTGCCATGCTGTGTAGATACCGGTGTTCGACCATTGACAGACTATCTTTATCCTGTTTTCTTAATAGGCAAGTTTCTGCTCCTTATAGCATACATTTAACCCTTCACAGACAGCCGGATGTCGGGACGGTGACACAGATGTCTCAAGTTGGCAAATCCCAACCGAGCCTTCTGTATGCGAGCTGACAATTCATCCGTGATGCGCACACTGTGTGAGATGTAGCTGCGCAAGTAACACTTGTCCACTTGCTCTAATACTTCCCCAGTTAGAGTGAGGCCGGGTGTTGGACCAGATCAGTCTTGGAGTAACATTTTACATTTTGAAGGTGATTGGTTTTTTCCTTATTGAGTCCGAGGTAGGAGATACGGATTGGGTCAGGGATGAATTTAGATCCCAGGTTTGTGGCTTCGAAGAATAAAATACCTCAGTCATGCTGGTTGTCGTTATCAATAGTGAAGTCAGAAAAAAATGGGCTGATACAGTGTGTCCATTGTTATTTTGTTGCCCGTGTGCACGCACGCGTGTACTGCAATCAAAATGTTCTCCTTTTAAAATCAGTGAGTTAATTGTTGTAATAACTGATGTTAGAACAAAAACATTGTGTCACTTTAACCCCAACACACTCCAGGTCATTTACAACAAAGAACAAACAGAAAATTGTTGAAATTGACCGAGGCTGTTTAGCCAATCATAATTCTATCAAACCCGACCTATACAAACAACGTGATTGGTTTGTCAGGTCAGCTTTACCTTTACCTTGGTGATTGACCCATACTCTCTCTCTCTTTCTTTATGAAGGACCATAAAAATCAATTTGACTGCAGTGTATCCCTGTGCCCACAGATGCAGTGAAATCACCATGGCGATACATCTGAATCCGATTTCTCTATGCAAATCCATACCGGGAAAGTAGTGGTATACAGTTGCCAATTTGACCGATCACTGTCTCGTGAGTCAAACTAGTCAAGCACCAAATGAGAAGAATAAACAAACCTGGCGATCAGTCGGTTTATCTTTGAAAAATGGATGTGTCTTTTTGTTGCGCGGTGGTGTGAATTTCATGTTCAGAAAAATCACTCCGTTGGCAATCGCCTCCAGCGGAACCGGACTTTCATACGGGAAACCGAGACCCACGAGGACCTGTGAGTCGGATACGGGAATGAGATAGTGAGGGGTGTTGGAGAAAAAAATTTGTTCAATCGGTTATTGGAAATATTGCCCCGGGGCAATATTTCCAATAAC